CCTGAAGGGTGGACTTCTAGTTACCTAAAGTGGCATAAAGGCTCTTCATCCGATAACAATGGATGGTATACTTTAGATATACCTGACCCCAAGGCCAAACGTTGGGACTATGTTGAGTTTGCTGTCTATGCTCGGACAACCTCAGCCAGACCCACAGGGTGGATGACTGTTGGCCGCACCCTGATTACGCCACCTAAAGCAACTATCCAGGTAGTCGAACACATCAAGGAGTCAGAATCAAAACTTTGAGATCTTATCCATAGCCCATCCAAAGAGGATTCAGAGCCTTCAACCCCCTTAGGCCCCCCTCCCACATGGCTCAATTTGCTACACCAAACTCTTCGATTATTAAACTCCACCCCTCTTTCTGTGCCTACTTCTCAGTGCTTTCTCTGTGCTTCACTTAGTCATCCACTTCTAGCAGCGGTCCCATTAGTGGCAGGAAATATTTCAGCAAAAACCTACAATTTCTCTAAGAAAGGACAACCCCTACATGTGACACATATCCCACTGTGGGAAAGTTATTCCACCAGTACTTCATTTCCTTTCATCTGTTTCCATCTGCCAACAATGAATCCTTTACCCATTTGTTCCTTGAGCTATAGCACCCCATCGAGCCCTGCGTTTATGCAACCTGGACATTTCCTCTGGTGTAACGGGTCTTTAAGTACCTCAACGATCAATGTCTCTGGCACCTGCTTCTTGGTTACTGTAGTTCCTCAGCTGTCTTTGTATACTCCCACCGAATTCTGGCAGCTGGCCCTACCTTCCCGCACCTGTAGGGCAGTCTTTCTGCCGGTTCTGGTAGGCCTCACTTTAACAACCTCAGTGGCAAGTCTCAGACTCTCTGGTGGAGCTATAGGTCATGCTCTATGGGCATCCAATGACCTACAACAAAAACTGCAGGAAGCACTCGATACCACTGCTGAGTCTCTGGGCTCCTTGCAGCGGCAGGTTACTTCATTGGCACAAGTGGCTTTACAAAACCGAAGGGCGATTGATCTTCTCACTGCAGAAAAAGGGGGTACATGCCAGTTCCTCAGAGAGGAATGTTGCTACTATGTTAATGAGTCTGGGCTAATAGAAAAAAATGTTGTTGAATTGCAGGAATTATTGACCCAACTGCTCAAACCCACCTCCTCTAATCCTATAACGGGTTCTTCCAATACTCTCTTGCCACGTACTTACTACCTATCTTGGGGCCCCTTATTGGGATGCTCCTTTTTTGTGCTCTCTTGCCCTGCATAATGAAGTTACTTCAAACCCAATTGCAGAAAATTTCTAATCAAACTTTCAACCAGCTTCTGCTTAGGCACTACCAGCCTCTGATGACCGATGAACCCTCAACATCTCCAAGAGAACAGTTCACTCAGTGCTAAAGCTCACTACCAGGCACTATGGAATGCAACAGATATCAGACAGCGGGAGACAACGAGCTTGGAGAACCTCTTAATCTGCCATCCTGGATTCATGAGTCTTTATGTCCTTCTAAGCTTCCTCATGGCCCTTGGCCTCTTCTCTGTCAGTCCCCCAACATGGAACTTCTGCCAAAAATTGACCTTTGCTTTAATTTTTATCTTCATTCTGTTTTTATTCGCTCTGATCTTCTTCAGGTGCTGGTGACGCCATGTCCAGGCAACACTTCCAGTATTTCCTAGAGTCTCTGTTACAGGACCAGTGGCTGATACCAACAATCTCCTCCATCCAGGACTGGTTCGATGCCATCAACAACTTGTGGCTTCAGGGAACTTTCACAGACTTCACCCCTACGGAAGTAGCTGTCTATAGCCACTGGGTTTTATTTCTGGCTGCCATGATATCCCTAGACCTGCCCCCCGAGCATTCCTCCACTTCCCTTTCTAGGCCCCACAGCACCCCCACACAGCAGGAAGCAGCCAGATCTGACCAACGATGCCCCACTTCCTAAGAAAACAAAAAGGGAGGAATGTTGGGAAAAGTATAAACGGCAGCCATACCCCAGAGAAAAAACCCCAACATGGTGCCTAAGCACCTCTTCTTCCTACCTTCTTCTTTTCTGCAGTGGCGCGAAAAGTTTCGTCCTGTGTGAACTCTCCCTCTGGCACCAATTTCAAATCTCGCTGGCGGGGAACCTTAGCCCCAATGAGAACTAATTCCTGGGCTCCAGAGCTGATATCTGAAAGAACTTGCCAACAAACGGGTTGCCTGCCATTTATCTAAGCCCTACCATCTCCCCCTTAGTTCTATATAAGCACACTGCTTTTTGCAATAAAATTGGAATTCTCCCGGCGAAGTGTCTTTGCGTGGGGAATTCTTTCATTTACCTTTGTAGGGAAGCAAGAGAGATGGCCGATACCTCTACCACTTCCCGAAATTGTTGTTCAAGCTTCTGAGTAGCAGTTACTGCATAACCAAGTCCTCCTGCCCCCAGTCCAGAGGCAACAAGTGAGGAGGCCAGGGAGAATCCAACTACTACTGGTAGAAAAACGGCCTGTCTTGTCCTGGAAAGGGAAGTAGTAACAAGCCATGTTAATTCAGCTTCACTGTAGAGTTAATTGAGGGACCAATGTGGAAGGAACACAAAAAGCAAAGGGCATGTTGAGGCTTAGATTTTTTGTTAGGGAACCATTGCACCAGATAAAGAACCCTGGTGGAGCAAAGGTTGGGAGGAAATTTGAATGATCTGGTCATAGGGTGCTGAACCAGAGGAAGTGTAGCAGCAGAGGAAATTTCCTGATGAGTTATGAAAAAGAGGTACTTCCTCAAAGGGTATGGTTGAGATATTGAGAGAAAGATCAATGGGAATCGCAGTTAACGGAGTACTATTGAAACCTGAACAGAGTAAATGGTCTGAAATGTTATTAACTTTGGATAAATTGAGAAGCTGGAGGCCCTGATGTATTAGGACCATCCATGAGAAAGGGTCAGCTTTAGGATGGGCAACTGCATCCAGCCGGTGTTGGAGTTCTTTCTCTTGCTCCTGGTTGGTTATGTGAATTTGAGAGAACACTTGTATATAAGTTCTCCATATTCTGATAGAGGCTGAGGGGTGCTTGGCAAAACCCCAAGAATAAAATTTGCCATCAGCACCAGAAGTCCATTTGGGATTGTAGAGGTCCCAAATAGTTAAATTGGTGTATTCTCATTTCTCATGAATTATAAGGGCACCCGCCAAAGGTGTTAGGCCAGCGCTTACAAGATTCCTCAGTTTGGTCTGATATGAAGCATAGCATTGCTGCACATAGGTGGGTGGTGCCATCCTGGTGCCATGTCACTTGGATGTAGAAGTGCCATCTGTGGGTTGGGATAGAAGCTTGGGAGAGATTTATGATTAGTAAAAGAAGAAGAGGGTTGGCAAGAAATCTTGAGTTTGGTGGGCCCCAGCATGGTGGAAGTCCAGGACTGGACATTTGGAACAAGTGCTTTTTTAAGGCAGGAGACATGGTACCAGGGGAGTGGCCCAAAAGCTTGGCTGCTGTTGGGGTAGTAAGTATGACTGTATTGGGTCCTGTCCAGAGAGATTCCAATAATTGAGGATGCAGTTCCTCTGAAGTAAGACTGCATCACCCAGTTAAAGAGGGTCCGATTCAGTTTGTGGTGAAAATCCAGCCTCTATCTCAGAGCAAAGCCTGTCCAAGGAAGGGACATGGCCTTTGTCCTTGGAAAAACCCACAGAGCACTTGCACCAGGTGTCCCTGACTCAGTCAGGCTAGGTGGAGACCCATAGTAACCCCCTAGCAGCCACCAATCAGCATGAGACAGAGAAATACCTGGGATGCCAGATGACCCTCCCAGTAGTTTATGGTGGTTGATAACATGTTGGGAAACCATGTGGTTCAGCATGTACACCCCTCTTGGCTTAAACCAATCAGTTCAAATGAATACCCCTTTTGTACTGACCAATCATCCCTACCCAACTTGTTCCCACCAGTGAATGTGCTAATCATGTTTTAGAGTTGTTATTTGATTTTCCTGCGGTGTGTGATGATTTGCTAAGAGAGGCTATGATGTATGTGAAGTCCCTGCCCTCTCCAAAGAATGTATAAAACTGCTGCAAACCCTGGGCTCGGGGCCTCTCAGCATCACCAGTTGCTGTGTGCGTGCGCAGAGGACCGAGCTAGCTCGCAATAAACACCTCTTTGCTGCTTACATGGATCTTGGTTGGGTCTCTGGTGGTCTTTTGGGGGTCCCGAATTCGAGCATAACAGTGGTTGTGCTGGGATTGAGGTACCGGATGGCGCAGGAAGGTACCGGTCTGCGTGTTCCCTTAGGAGTTTGAGTAGAAGTGTGAGATAGGGCAGGTGGGACACAAGAGGAAGAGGAGTGATTGGAAAGCTTTGGTTGATTAAGAAAGGGTGCCCATGGAGTAGCTCAAAGGGGCTAAGGCCTGAGGAGGCTCTAGTGGCTGCCCAAATTCGGGTGAGGGCCAGTGGCAGGAAATTGGGCAAGGATAGCCTGAGTTCAATAGCAAGTTTAGTGAGATGATCCTTGAGAATGCCATTAGCCCTCTCAACCTTACCCAAGGATTGGAGTCACTAGAGGATGTGAAGCCTCCAAGTGATGTTGAGGCCTTTGGAGACTAGTTGAACAATCTGAGAAGTGAAGGCTGGATCGTTGTCTGACTGGATGGAGGTGGGAAGTCTGAACCTGGGAATGATCTGCTCTATGGGGGTGAAGACAACAGTGTCAGCAGTTTCCCTGGAAGTAGGGAAGGCTTCTTATGTGGGAAGCCACTCTGAATGACTCACGCCTTCCATCCTGAAGTGGGAGGCTCTGAATGATCACTACATTTCATAGTGACTTGGACATTGTCTCAGTTCAGGAAGTTGAGGGCATATTTTCAGATGTAAGTGACACCCCTTGGGTTGAATTACACTCACCTGTCCCTTGTAACCCTGCCCCGTCTGGCCTTTTTTGGATAGAACTTTCTAAGAACAAGGGTCCCCCCAGTAAAAGCCCACTTTGGAATATTCTCTCTCTTTCAACAGCCTCTCATGAATTTCTCTTGCTCTCCAATTTAGGGAGTCTGAGGCCAAGAGTGAAGAAGCTGTCCTGAAGCTTGTTTAAAGGTAAAGTGTATGTCTGTGTTTTATTTGGTGTCCCTGGAAGTTCACACGAGCAACCTTAAGTTCAGCTGCCCATGCAGGTTGGGGGTAGCACTTCTATCCAACTGTAAGAGAGTGCTATCCCCCAAATCACAAGCAGTTAGGTCCTGTGTCAAGCCTTGCCCAAAGAGGTGGGGACTGTCCCTGAAGCCTTGGGGTAGGACTGTCCATGTCAGCTGTGGAAACCTAAAGGATGTAGGGTCTTCCCATGTGAAGGCAAAAAGGTAATAAGAGTCAGAATGGAGAGGCACTGTAAAGAAGGCATCTTTTAAGATTCAGGACAGTAATGTGAGTGGTTGAAGGGGGATATGAGAAAGAAGAGTGTAAGGGTTGGGAACCACCAGGTGGATGGGAATAACTGCTTCACTAATTAGGCAGAGGTCTGGAACAAGTGCTTTTTTAAGGCAGGAGACTTAAGCAATAGGCTCCAAAGGGTTTGCATACTGGCAATATGGGAGTGTTGCAGGGGGAGTCAGTAGAGATGAGGAGTCCTTGGGCAAGTAACTGGTCTATGATGAGTTTAAGTCCCTCCCTGTGGGTTTTGGAGATGGGAAATTGGGGATGTGAAGGAAATTTAGTTTGGGGTTTCAGCTGGATACAGACTGACTTGTGGTAGGAGGCTATGACCGGTTTGGAGATGTTCCACACCTGGGGATTGACTAGGTCAGGGGGCAATGGTATGATACGTACTGTTGGGTTATTAGAGAGGGTAAGGATTAGAGGCAGAAGAAAATGTGTGGTATTATTCTTGGGGTATAGTTGGAGGGTGGCTCCTAGTACTTGGAAAACATCTTTGCTTAGGAGAGAAACTGGACAGGATGGAATGACTAGAAAAGAGTGTGTGAAAGGGTGACCCTCAAGGGCACAGGCCAGCTTAGCAGTTTAGTTTGGGGAGGAGGGTTTGCCATCAATCCCCATAACTGAGACCTGGGAAGGAAACAGAGGCTCAGAGTGGGCAGGCAAGACAGAATAGGTAGTCCCTGTGTCCACAAGGACAGTTATGAATTTACCCAGTACCTGGAGTGTTACCCTGGGCTTGGCGAGGGTGATGGGGGTCCTTGAGTCTGGGCTTCTTCAGTCTTCTGCAAACTCCAGTAGTTCAAGAGAAGGGCCTACCTGGCTGGTCTCCATGTGGAGACTCCGAGGAAGGGTGGGCCATGGGGCAGTCGCTCTTCCAATGTCCTGTCTGCTTACAGGCGGGGCACAGCCTGGAGGGTGGCAGCATGGGTTTGGGCATTGGTGAGCCCAGTGACCCTCACATCCACATTTGAAGCAAGCCCCTGATAAAGAATAATGCTGGTTCCCCCGTGGAGCTCTCACTTGAGCTATAGACATCAGGGCCACTGCCAAAGCCTGAGTTTAGAGTGTTACCTTTTTCTGCAATTGAGCCTGCCTGGCTAGTTCAGCTGACTCCTCCTGGGCATTATAGACTTTAAAGGTGATTTTCACCAGATCTCAGATAGGGGTCTGACTTTTTTTTTTTTTAAATATCATGGGCCAATTGAGGAATGAAATGGGTTGCTAACTTGTTGCACTAGAGGGAGATTCAGGGTCCAGCTTAGTATATTTGGTGAGCGCCACTAAGAAATAAGGCTGGATTCTCATCTGGATCCTGGGTGATTTGTCTCAGCTTATCAAAGCTAACCACATTATTAGAAACTGCCTGCATGCCTGCTATAAGATATTGGACCATGCAAGTGCAGTGACAGCCACCTTGTTGGCCATCTTGGTAGTCCCAGTTGGGTTCAGTTAGGGGAACGGCTGCTTCACCTGTGAGGAGAGTCATATCTGTTAGATGAATTTGATCAGCATGATCTAGTGTGGCCTGCTGGATGTGGGCTTGCTTATTGGGAGTAAGAGTGGAGGAGAGAACGACATAGACATCATGCCAGGTAAGATTATAAGTCTGAGAGAGGTATCAGAATTCCTTAATATAAGTAGAAGAGTCAGCAGAAAGGTGCTCTCCAGTCTGGGAAAGATCTTGAAGTGAGAATGGGATGTGTACTTGGACAATCCCTTCCGCACCAGCCAATTCCCTGAGAGGACAAAGAAGCTTTGAGTTAGCTAGTAAGAGGGTCTGGTGGGACTGACAGGAGAAGAGAGGAGTGAGTGGGGGGAGGGAGAAGGGTTGTATTAGTAGAAGAGGTGGGCAGAGGAGACATGGCTACAGGAAAGGAGGGAGAGAAGGGGGAGAGGGATGGAGGGGAAGCGTCCTGGAGTAGGGAAGGAGGAGCTATGGTAGCAGGAGGAGGGGGAGGGGGAGGGTGCAGGTGTGGGAGGGAAGGAGGGAGAGAATTGGCCTGAGTAGGGAGGGGGAAGATGGGAAGGTGGGGCTGAGAGCAACTCAGGTGGATCTGAGAATGAGGAAGGAGAAGTAGAAGAACAATGGGAAAAGGGTTCCCTAGCAAGGAAAACTTTAGCAGTAGAACAGGTAGAGCAGAGGGGAAGACAGGAGTGAACCTCAGAAAGCCTGAATGTGCCTCCAGATGTAAGGGACTTCTGCCCACTTCCCTGTCCAGTGACAGACATTGTCCAATTCAGCGAGGATTTAAAATCAAAAGTTCCTTCTGGGGCCATTGTGACCCATTGAGGCCTGGCCCCTCAGTGGAGGCCACTGAGGCCTCAGTGGAGTAAAAGACTAGGTGGTTATGGAGTAGAGAGTCCTAACTTGGCAAAATTTGAATATAGACACCCAAAGGAGTTTGGGGGTCTCAGGAGGACTCGGTTTTTCCCATGACCTTCCGGCACCCTCAGGGGTGGGTGGGAGCAGAAAAAGGCATCCCAAATTCTGATTGCACTTACCCAAGGAACGGATAAGGGCCGGGCGGGGGTTGAGGTGTCCCAGCAACCCACCAGGAGCCCAAACAAACCAGAGTGGCTCACACGAGGACTGGGACATCTCCACAGTTCCCAGGGCCTTGAATGGAACAGGCGGGGTCTATGGCAAGCACATGACTTACAGATAGACCCTCCTCCCAGATGGAAAGGGGCTGGGATGTCAGGGGAGATGAGGGAACTTACCCCACTCCTGTTGGCCTGGATGAAGGGAGAAGGAAAGAAGGAGAAGCTTAGGAATTTTCTGATTCCTTTGAAGGTGGGAGGTGGACCTCAATCCCCTAAGGGAGAGGCCTGAAGATCCCTCCTGTGTTTCGGCACCAGATGTAAGGTCAGGCAGCGGCAACTAAAAGGAGGCAGATTTTAAAAGGCTGCTAAATGAGGCTTTATTGAGATTTCGCTCCTGGGTAAGACCCTCATGTTGGGTGCAGAGCAGGCTGAACTGTGTTGTCTGCTGGGCAGGCTGAACAGATGTTGGCTGCAAGATAGCCCACGCACTCAAATCCCCCTCTATCTGGTCCTTTTATCACCTGTTTGCCTCAAGTCTGAACATTCAACCCTGCTTAAGGCTGAACACTTAACGCCCCCTTGGGCCAACAAGGCAGCTTCCAGACCCAGAGGCCCCATTAGATTTGGGCTATAAAAACTCCCTCCTGCCAGGCCCCCCCTCTCTCTTGCTCTTTCTCTCTTGCTCTCTCTCTCTTGCTCTTTATCTTTCTTATGCGCGCTCTCTGTCTCTCTCTTGCTCTTGCTCTCTCCCTGTTCATCTCTTTTCTCTCTCTTTCTTTTCTCTTTGTTGCACTGCTGCAATAAAGATCTCTTGGTCACTCCGAATGTTGTGGTCACTTTCCTTTCACCTCAGACCAACAGGGCAGGTCTGAGGAGAAGTGCAGGGTTGTACCAGATTGGAATTTTTTATTGGGCTTAGGGCAGGAAGGGAGGACTTGGGACAGGAAAAGGGGGGTTTTAGAGTTCCTTGTCCTACTGGGGTTAGTTGGGGAAGCTGTTTAAGATCTAGGATTGGCCAGGAGATCCCGCTGATTGACAGGCAGTTCTGTTGGTGCCTGATTGGTCATTCTTTTGCGCGGGTTGCTTGGTGCTTTGTTCCTCAGCCACCTCCTCCGACCTAACAACAGGGACCCAGCTTTCAGTTACACTATCATTATTAATGCTACAAACCATGGGTGGGGTGGACACTGGATGAAGCTGTAAATATTTTAACCTTCAGGCCTCAGTTACAGAGAAAAGGAAACTGGAATTAGTTTTTGAAAAACCTGGATTTAAGCCTGACTCTGTTATTTAAAGGCTGTGAATCCTTAGAAAAGTCACTTCACTTCCCTGAGATTTTGTTTCCTTCTCTATGTAGAAGTGAAAATCATAATTGGCATGTTATTTGCAAGAAGTAAATGCTATAATTTGGAAAGCGTTCCCAGCTAGGGCGGGTAGGCAGGAGGCTCTGCCCACCTCTGAGATCATGTGGCATTTATTATTCAGATGTCTAATTCTCATAATATTATTATGCCCACTGTTTCCCCTTCAGAACATAAGTTGTTTATGAGTAGAAAGAGTAACTTATTCACTTCTCTTCCTCCAAAGCACAGAACCCTCAAATAATGGTAGTTTTCCAAGATAACTGTTTAATGAATGAATCAATCGGTGAATGGTGACAGACGTTGTGAACTTCACTGTAGCATAGTGTTGAGTAATATATGGGAATCACCCAGGTCTGATATAGCAGTTAATTAGCTCTTTCCTTTACCTGGGATTATAAAGCCTTCCAACTCTTCCAAAATCTTCATCTGTGACAACTTCACCCTGAAACATTAGCTCTGCCATCTTGTATTCCATTCTTCAACTTCTTTCCAATCCTTGATCTGACATTGTGACTTGTTTTTAAATTTATTGCCTTGCTTCACAGATTACCAATTCTCATTAATATTACAGGGCTGGGGACTTCTGAGAAACTGAGGTAGCAGTTTCCCCCTTTGGGGTAGCAGACCCCCCTTTGAAGCCAGAATTAGACAGGCAGGGGTCAGATCCAGAAAATGGGGGGATTGAAATGTTAATTCCTTCAGAGCCCTTCTTCCACCCTTATCAAGAACCTGCCCTTGCTCCAACCTGTTGCTAAG